GCCTAAATATAATTTTTCAAGTATCAATTTAACTATTTGATATTATACGATAACTAATTTAACTTCAGATATTTCAAAAATAGATCATCGTATAATTTTCGTAATAGGTATTAATCGGAATGTTACACAACCAATATTGCAAACAAGTGATATGATTCGTTTGAGATGTGAGTTAACTTTTTGACTTCTTGATTATTTTAGCTTAAGGCTATCGTTTGAGATAGACTTTTTAATTTTTTTTTACTTTTATAAAAAAAATAAAATAATTATAATTTAAATATGACATTTTATCTTTAACTTTTTAACTTATTTTACATTTTTATAATTATTTTAACTTCATAACCTCATGCCAAACGAGTAATTAAAGTACGTGTTAATATTTGCCTTCTTTATTTTGTCCAAGTACTCTTTAAACAGTGAAAAAAACATTTTTGGCTCAGTCAAAAAAAAAAAAATTAATTGCATAAATTTCAACACACTTTTTATGCAGGCCACAATCAGCCTAGTGGCAGGGACACTGTACGGACATAAATTATCATTCAAGCCTCTAGCTTGGAAAGTTTCCCCTGCATATTTTTCATAAAAAATTTAACAATCATGCTAGAAATCACTAATTTAGTGACTCTAAATCTATCACTAATGAGGTGAAAATGTAAAAAAAAACAAAACAAAACAAACCAAAACAAAACAAACAGACACAACACATGCTGTGGTAGTGGGTGGAACCCACTGCTACATCATTAGTGGTAGCTCTAATTAGAGCTCTTGCATATTTTTCATAAAAAATTTAACAATCATGCTAAAAATCAATAATTTGGTGACTCTAAATCTATCACTAATGAAGTAAAAATGTTAAAAAAAAAAACAAAAAAAACAAACAGACACAACACATACTGTGGCAATGGGTGGGACCCACTGTCACATCATTAATGATAATTCTAATTAGAACTCCCACTCATTTTTTAAAATTTAATAAGTATAATTTAATGATAAGTATAAAAATATAAAAATAAAAATAAAAAGTTTTTAAAAGTAATTTATTAACAAATGTCCTTAAAACATAAGAAATATATATATATATATATATAAAATATAAGGCACCTTTTATTGATTTAATTATTTTTAATATTATTATAATTTCTAAAATAATTTATACACAAATCTCAATTGTTTTGAAAAACTCTTATCACACTTTGCAACGACATCGAGTAACTTAGAACACGAAGGTTGGTTAGCCTAAAAAACACTCAAAAAGAAGATCGGTTTGTAGTAAGTCAAGAAACTCTCTAATGCCTAAGTCAGTATAAAAAAAAGCATCAGTATAAGTTTGAGTGTAAGTTGTTGTATATCTTCTAGAATTGATTTGTCTTGCTTATATAGGTTCCAAATGTGGTCGTTACAAGCAATCAAGAGATCTTTATCACTCCTCATTGTCATTCCGCTTTGCATGGGATCATGTCCTACGTCCGCAGATTTTCTAAGAGTGGATAAATCCACATTTAGTGAAATGCGCATTAACCTAATCTGTCTATTTAGATTGCCTAATCCGAACCCGCATTTGGCTAAGAGTCTAAATTGACTCAGTCTTGTTCAATGCTCAAGATGTCCTAATTCAGCTAAGTAACCTTGCTTTGTCATAGTCTGACCTCTTGGACCCCTCAATAGTAGATGGTGGGATTGATGCTCTGAATTAGTCGATCCATTGGCCAGATACTAAGTTATCAAAAAATTACAAGAGTAAATTAACACAAGGATGCTGCTACCAATACCCATATTTTTTTGGTCCCCATCATTCCATAATTTTCTTATTACTATTGTACATTATTGTAAAATTTCATTTCTATCATTTTTCGAAACCCTAACACTAATTCCTCTCCGTTCCAACAACCACCCATCACCTAAAAGAGTCGCCTACAAAATAAATGAAGAGAAAGAGCAGTGGTGGAGAGCATTGTAGAAAGGGAGTCATAGTAGTAGATAGCATTGCAAAAAAGGGCTATATATATATATATATATTTGTTTATATTGAAACTAGAGTGAAAATTATTTTTAACTAAGTAAAAACATTAAAATGTTTTATAAAATAAAGGAATAATGTTTTTAATTTTATAAATCACCCATTATTAGAACAAGTTTACCAAAGTTGTCAACAGGAATTATTATTATATGAGTCCGCTCTATATCATACATGGTGTTATATATAATAATCTTATTTTTTTATATCGGACAAAATGATCATGTGTCTGACAATCGCGTACTTTAGCTCAAGTCAAGAATCTCATACAAGTGCACAATAACAAACATAACCCAAAGCTATGCTCAGAAAAAGATGATGATGACAATAATAATAATATTAATGGAAGCACCTTTTTAAAAGTAGTTAACAGTCAGACAAAAGATGACGATAACAACGATGACAACAAGAATAATGTTGGAAGTACATTTTAAAAGTACTTCCAATAATTAGACATATTACTGTTAATATAAATTTTTTAAAAATATTTGAAAGTTCTAAAATAAGAGCTTTAAAGAAGTTTTAGGGTGTGGGTCTCACCTATTGATATGATATTTTGGCTTTTTTTTCATTATCACATCATTAAAATTCAATTAGATTTCTAAAATTAGGGAGATATATTATTGCTCTAAATTTTTTTAGTAAATTACAAATATATTCCATGAAGTTTATTTAAAATATGAATTATCTTCTATGAGCTAAAAATTATATCTTCCCTTAAAGTTTTCAATTTCATAATAAATAGTTCTTGTTATTAGTAAATCATTAAATCAATTAACAGTTTTTAACAATATTAAAATTTTATTTTAATTAATAATTTAAGTAATTTTATTATTGTATAAAAGAATAGTTAGAAATTTTATTTTTCTATTAATTCTGTTAAATAAAAAATTCTAACAATAAGACGTTTGTAATTTTCTAAATCATACGAGACAATCCATATTTTAAGCAAATCTCAATGGAAGATCCCCTCCAGTCACTGCTTTGAACTAGACGAAACTATTTCGGCCAAGGTTCGCCACAGGTTCGATAATCCAAACTGTTTATTTTGTCAAGAATTTTGTATATTTCATTTATAAAAAAAATTAAGTTGATCCAATAATTATAACTAATTTAATTTATTGTATTTGTCATCAAAAAAAATATATAATTTATTTTTTTATCGTCTTTTTTTTTTGTAAAAAATATGTTAAATTAAATTAGTTACAATTATCAAATCGATCTAACTTCTTATTTAGATAAAATATATAAAATACTCGACAAAATAAGACTGGTAATAAACCCTATAAATTAGAATAATTTTGTCCAATTCAAAATAGTGCCTGAGGAGATCCTCCTTTATAATTTACCTAAATTTTTTACTAGAAGACTAACGTGGCTCCCACCAAACTCTCACTCTTATTTATCTCGAAACAATAACAATAATGAAAGTAGTATTTTTCAAAAAGTAGTTATGAAACAGTCAAGATGACAATAACAATAACACAATCGTGTTGGAAGTACACTTTTAACATGTACTTCCAACCGTTATGTTGAATGTTAATATTATGATACACATTTTTTTTAAAATGTGTACTATATATATTTTAATTATAATTATGATTTATTAAAGTATTATTTATGACTTAATTATATATATTATAATATTAATTATAATTATAATTCAAAAACTTCTGATTATCTTTTATATAGTATTTGATTATAACTCTTTTTTTTAGTTATGGCTTTCATAAATTTAAATTATGATATTTGTGATAATTAAACTCACAAATATTATAATAACATTTTTTTTTTTAAAGTGTGTATCATACCATTATCCTAACGTAAGACCAATAAAATAAATTTTTGGATGAAAAACATACGTGATCCCACCAAAATACCCTTCTTATTTATCCAGCAACAGCCATATGATCAAAATCATAAATTCATAGCACCGAACGTAGGAGATTGTTTACACCATCTCCAACCACCAGTTAGATAAGCGTGCAAATTGTACCACAAATGAGGGGACCATTAACGGCGTGAAAGACGGCACCGTATAGAGATAGAAAACATCGACTAGTCAAAAATCGTATAAATTAACGTAACCGATCCTTACTCAACTATTGCCAGCACATAACGGAACCCTAACGGCGTCTAAGGGTATAATGGACAATCCACACTATTCGCACGTGCCAGGTGTCAGGGATGGCTCACCAAGTATGCCTTCTTCTTTGGTTTTAGTTCAATCACGTGTTTGCGTCCTCCTTAGACGCTTAACACGCCGCTTTTATCGTTTGAATCCAAAGGCAACGGGTTTGATACGAGCAGATAAATTAATTATAAAATTAAATATAAATTATATATAAATAAATAAAATTTATTTTTAAACTATTTATTTATATTTTACCTAATTTTATAACCGATTTTTGTATTGTTAAGTAGTTAAGAATACAAAAGAATTTATGAATAAGACAAATATAAAACAAAAGTATGACTCGTCTTTTGTCTCATATCTGTCTGCTTTATAAAAATCTTTTATACAGCTAGATTTCCTTATTATAAGGTAATACTACGGAAATCCAAAAATTAAATCTACTTTGATTATAAGTTTATAATTTTTAAAAAAAATAATAATAAACAAAAGTGCATAAAGTAAAAGTTAAATTTGCTTTTGTACTTTTTCATTCTTATTATTATTTCTCTACAAATCGCAAAATGAGACTCCTGAACTATATCTTTCTGGATTTGGTCTTGACTCTTGATTCACTAAAATGAAGAATCAACAATTCATATTATTTTAATAAAAATAGAATCTATCGAGTTGATGTATACATTCTTAATATTTTTTCATAATTTAAATCTGTATATAAAAACTTAACCTTAAATACCGAAACTACGTGATACATCTGTATCATACATGTCACTTACTTTATACATGGTTTAGTAATAATAAATAAAATACTTTTATTATTATATTAAATGTTGTGTTTATGTGTGGTTTACCGGAAAAAAGAAGTTATCAGTTCAAAGACCTGAGCTTGCTCTCTCTCTCTCTCTGGAATAAAAGCCTTGGTCTTTCTGTTTGGTTTCTTTTCCTATTTTCTCTCTCCTCTATGAAAAAAAACTCCTACTTCTCTATCTCTCTGCCGTCCGGCCACTGAACCAGATCTCCGGCAATGACCCACTTTCAGGTAAGTCTGATCCACAAGGTCTTCTATCTACCTAATTTATATTTATTTTTTAATTTTTTTATTGTAATAAAATGTGTATTAATAAATGTGTATATATCTTAGAAGCAGAAGAGAATAAAGTGGCATTAACCTTGGAAGAGATCACAGATTCTGTGGAGGCTTTGTTATGTTTGTCTTCTGGAAATCTGACCAAATTCTATTTACCAATTAATGGATTTTTTATTTTATTTTATTTTATTGGATTTTCATTGTTTCGTGATCATCCTGTTTTGAACCCAGTATGTTTATGTCTCTGTTTGAGAGATCTGTGGGTTAAAAGATCAATTTGTCGGGTTGATTTTCAGATTTTGAAGAGTATGGGTTCACTGATCTTGTGTTGAGCTCAAATTTGGTTCTCTGTTTTTGACTCTCTGCATGTTTATAATTTTTTCTTTTTTTAGAAAAATAATTCCAGAAATCTGTGGGTGATAAATGAGAAATTTTAGTGAAAAAAGCCTGAAATTTGTTCTGTAATTTACAATCTGCAGAGAAAATTGGGACTAGCTGAGTAAACTATTAACAGAAACAATGCCTAGAAGGGGTAGAAAACCGGGAAAGAAGCAGACAGGTTCCATACCTGTTTCTGCAGCTCCAGAAATGGACATCAGAACCGAGAGCTTGATCCAGGAAGCGAAAGATGTCCAGATTCCTAGTTCTTGGGCTCCAATCACCCCAGTGAAGCCCATTCCACCGATACCGCAGCCGATCTGCGCAGACAGACAAAAAAATCAAGAAAATTGGTCAGCACCAGAGGGATTTTCAACTGGGTTATCACAAGAAACTCAAGATCATAGTACAGGTGAATATTGTGAGTCAACAAATTCGGTTCACAGAAACAATCGTTTTCATGATTGGGAGGAATATTTAGCCAAGAAATCCTGGGTTTCTGGCAAGGGCCCCATTTGCAGTGAGCTTTCCATAGAGTCAGACAGATTAAAGAATTTTCCTTCAGCAAATCTCAGAACCCATGCAGCTGCTGCTCGGCAAGGAAATGTTAATGGAGCAAGCAGTCCTGGCATTTCCAATTTCAACTCACAGTTTCAAGGTAACCAATTTGAGGGGGGAAGCTCCACAACCGCAGCACTTGGAAACCGGGATATATCACTTGGATCAAACTTGAGGAGTAACGGCAGTTGTGCATTGGATACACCTTTATGTGAGTGTTACTGAACTCAGCTATTGATTTGCTAATTAATATTAATTGAAACTAAAAAGAATGTGGCAGGGCGGGATATGTCACTTGGATCAAACTTGAGGAGTAACGGCAGTTGTGCATCGGATACACTTTTATGTGAGTGTTACTGAACTCAGCTGTTGATTTGCTAATTAATATTAATTGAAACTAAAAAGAATGTGGCAGGGTAGCCTCGTGCACTGGGACTGCCTTTTATCAAGATCAAATCGAGATTCCCCTGTCCTATTCTCTGTCATGTGTCCCAACAGAGAGAAAGACAGATGATCCCACACGGTGTCAGGGCATTAAGTTCCCTAATATAATTGGGATAAAAAGAAGCATCAGCTCTATTTCCAACACACTATCCATGTACTAAACAAAATGAGAAAATTAATCATATGCACTGCATTTAAATCTTACTTAGAGAGTATGATTTAGAAGGACCAAGCTATGGCACCATTGCACGAATGGTTATTCCCTCCATCAACATGAGACATACACCTTGCCTTCAAGACATTTTTCAGCATCACACTGGTTAGCTTACTGTTGGACGATATTACCAAATTTTTTGTTCCTCTGTTCATTAGGAAAATATGTAACATATATATGAAGAACCATTTTTTAATTTATGAAACATCACTTCGGATTCTGTAGATATTTTATACCTTGCACTGATATGAAATGGAACACTTGTTGACAACAGATGGAGATTCTATTCCTTACCAACCCAACTATGCTCCCCATTCACCACCTAGGGCATTTACAGACACATTCTTGAGTAGGAATATCACATCCCAGTTTGCACCCATAACACCAGATCAGTCCAAGAAAGTGGATAACAAGCAGGCGTATGATGTACACAGTTTAGATGTGGATGAAAGAACAAATCAGGCAATACATGGGAATGAAGTAGCTACCGCTAGGGTTGACGTTGAGGAGCTCCACCATGATAAAGAACAGCAACAACTACCAAAAGATGGGTCAAGTGTTGTTGTTTCCACACAATTGGATGAGAATCACAACCCTGACAAGGGAGACAACCTTGGCATTGACCTGAACATAACACCGCAACAGAAACAAAGAAGAAGAAAGCACAGGCCCAAAGTGGTTAAAGAAGGCAAACCAAAAAGGACACCGAAGCCAGCGACCCCAAAGCCTGCGGGCCCCAAGAGGAAATATGTCCGAAAAAATCCACATAACAAAACCTCAGGCACTCCCACAGCAGAAGTAACAAGCCAAAGTGCTGAACCAAAGACAGCACCACATGCAGCAAAATCCTCCAGAAGAAAATTGGATTTTGAGTTAGAAAGCAAAGTGAGAGAAGAAAGTTCTTCATGTAGGCCGCAATCTAATATCAATGTTGAATCGCAAGCACAAAACTTTTATGCACGAGTTGAATCAAAATCAACTGTGCTGCTTGGTGAAGGAATGGAGGTAACGGTTGAGAAGACAAACGTGGGGGTTGCTTATGACCTCACAAATGCCCTGAACAAAGAGTTTGAAGATTACTTGTCAATGCCAGAAAGACAACCCCAATCCCCAATCCTTCAGACCCCTACCACAAATGATCTGCTGCATGAAAATTTGAAGGCTTATGTCCAAAATGAACGTACCAGAGGAAAATGCCGAATAGTTTTCTCAGATGTAACACATGATAAACAGGGCAGTACTGTACAAACTAACAGCCAATCAGCTCCAAGTCCAAACAATTCCAATTGCAGCAGCTTCACTAGTTTGGACGAGGGAGAACAAGCAAGGGGATTAAAGAGGGGAAATCCATCCACAAATGATGAGGCAAGACCCAGACACACAAATTTGATTGGAGGTCATTACAATTCTTTGCATGAATACTTGGCATTGTTTCCAGAAAGTGTACATAACAATAATGGAATTCCTGGCTTGCATTTTCCTGCAATTCACAAGCGAAGGAGATGTGAGAAAGATCAGAACTCAACCATACTGCCATTGTCTACTGTGACTGTTGCAGAAAATAATGTGAGACAAGCAACACCGACACTGTGGCCTCTGAACAATGCTTGTGTTGCTCCTTGTACACCAGAAATCAATAGCAGGTTTTCTACTGCTCAATTTAACACTAGCAACACCTCAACAAAAACAGCATCACTTACAGATGCTCGAGGGAAACAGGAAACATTTGAATGTGCAATGGTTTTAGACCAGAAAGGAAGGCAGGCAAGGAAGAGATCAAAGGGACCTACTTGGGTATGCAAGCTGGATTCACTAATTGGAATTGTAGGGTGTAGACAATTGCCAGCTTTTCCTGGTGAAGGAGCACCAACATGTGGTGATATGCAGGGGTATGAAATTTCACATCACCCTCACGCATTCATGAAAGCCCTGATTGCAGACACTGGTGCAACAATGACAGCAAAGAAGCGCACTAAAAGGAACCAATCCCTTGACAAGTCAACAGGTACTTCCTTCAGGGGAATGTTTGTGTGTGATCATAGATTTTATTTTTTTATTTTTGGGGGGGACACTTTTCAGTTTCAGTATTGACGCATTTGATGCATGTCATCTTTCAGATGCAATTCAGGGGAGAATCCCCTCTCTTGATGAATTTGTTGACCAGTTAAATAATCTCGACATCAATCAGGAAAGCAACCAACTCACAAATCAAGAGCGGAGTGCACTTTTTCCTTACAATTTAAGTTATGAAGAGCAAAATGCAATTGTTCTTTATCAAAGAGGTGGAACTCTTGTGCCTTTCAAAGGTTCATTTTTTCCAGCCAGGAAACGACGACCACGAGCTAAAGTTAACCTCGATGAAGAGACAAGTAGAGTGTGGAAGCTCCTTTTGGAAAATATAAACAGTGAAGGTATTGATGGGACAGATGAAGAGAAAGCAAGATGGTGGGAAGAAGAACGTAGAGTGTTCCAAGGGCGGGCAGACTCATTTATTGCACGCATGCATCTTGTCCAAGGTACAAATACAAATAATCATTCAAATGTCTGCAGACAACTTATTTCTCAAATCTTTGTTAGGAATGCTAAACTAATATCTCATCAAGTAGCTAAATAGACATAGATACTGCTTCAGTAATAATCAATACATGTATAGGCACTAGTTATTAGGATTACTCTAAAAAACAAATGGTGCTCAACCACACAGGATGTCACTGATTTTTTCATGTGATCTAAGCTATACCTGACTATAACAAACCAAGGTAACAATGTGGGTGTTTGAGAAGTGGGTTTTTTTGTAGGTTTTTTTAGTTATAAGATATTATTGAAGAAAAAAAATTGTGTTTGGGAAGATAGTTGGATTTTTTTGTGGTTGAATGTGATGTTTGTGAGAGAAAAAGTGAAATGATTATGGGGTTTGATGTGATATTTTGTTTGGATTAGTTTTTTTTGGTTTTGTAACCAATTTGTCTTTTAGTGGAAAAAACCAAAAAATTTACTTCCCAAACAATGACAATATAGATGAGGAAGCATGCATGCATGCACACAGCAACAGTTAGAGCGAAAACATTTCAGCTTAATGGTAAGTTGAAACCAGCCCCAGTGCCCCACCAAACCACGATGTCAAGAAATGGAAGGATTGGAAAGAAGCATCATGAATAAGAAAATTGTTTCCAACTTTCAATACTATTACCATTGAAAGAAATAATATTGAATTCTAAAACTTGCAGTTACAGCAGATTAATGTGTGATAAGAAAATTTATCACTTCCACCTATCCTTACAAAAAGAAACTGGCACATAAGCAGCTCAATTACTTTTAATTGGTTACCCTGAAGAAGTGTGTTAAGAAAATGTTTACTAAAGGTTTCCTTTGTTTTATATATTGGATTTTTTTCTTTCCTCGAACCAGACATTGCATTGAAGATCTTCAGAAGCATAAAAATGACAACTAGAAGAGCTAGAGCACCCAAAAAGTTGAAGCAAGTCTAAACACTGAATAAATCATATTTGAAATTTAGGCAATTAACATAATAAAGCCAAATTACATAGGCAACTAGTGGTAAAGGAAACAAAAGGTGTAAGCAGTTATAAAAATTATAGGCACAGATAGCAGGGACAGCTAATGAAATGCCAAATTTTGAGCTGTGTAGACCTGGACCTTACTTTGTAAGCAATTCAAGGAAAAGGATTGTGTTCGCACAAACTTATCACTAACCTGAAAGGCATCAATACCTGGTATATCATTTCCAAAATATCCTTTCTTAGGAAACCCAACCACTATCTTGTACCTGAAAGACAAAAGTTTCCAAAAGGCTGACGTAAAAAAAACACTTCTGACCTGCACGAACACTTCAGGGCATCCTTTTGCTTTTCTCCACCCTCTGGAATGATAAGAGACATTTTTGTTCGTTCATCAAATTTTGCAAAATTAGTTAATACTTACAGTTCAATGTAATTGTTCGCAGGAGATAGACGCTTCTCTCCATGGAAAGGATCAGTTGTGGACTCAGTGGTTGGAGTTTTCCTTACTCAAAACGTCTCAGACCATCTTTCTAGGTCAATTGGATTTTCTGACTTAATAAGGAATATAACACAGGTTGTAATTGAAAACCTCTTCACTTTACTTTCTTATTTGCAGTTCTGCCTTCATGTCGCTTGCTGCACGATTTCCCCTCAAGTCAAACAGCAATGAGAGGCCATGCTTTGAAGAGACAAGTATATTGGCCAAAGAACCGGAAGTGTGTATTCTTGATCCAGAGGATACCATCAAATGGCAATGGCATGAAGAGAAATCACATCAGACTGCCTGCAACAGGAGTTCTATGACGCTCCATGACATGAATTATAATTTAGAGGAAGTTGTCCACAGCAATGAATTGCTTGGAAGCATCAGTGGTGCTGAAAAGTCCACGGCTAATTTGAAATATAAATCCTCAGATATTTCTGGGAATTGCCCAAAGATATACGATAAATCAACAGCCAAAAGAGAGATGGATGATGTACTTTCTTCTCAGTATTCTGGTGGTTCTTCTCAAAACTCTGTGGACTCATCAATGGCTCAAACTGCTGAAAGAATAGGATCATGCTTGCAGGATAACTCAGAAGCAGATCCAGCAATCAGGTCAAACCCCAACAGTCATTCTGGCTCTTCTTTTCTGGAGCTACTACAAAGCGTAGAACTTTATTCTCAGTGTTCTGGTGGTTCCTCTCAAAACTCTGTGGACTCATCAATGGCTCACACTGCTGAAAGAATAGGATCATGCTCACAGGACAACTCAGAAGCAGATCTGGCAACCAGATCAAGCCCCACCAGTCTTGTTGGCTCTTCGAAAGCCTCCATAAGGCCCATCATCCCTTCCAGTAACTATCCTTTGCAAATGACCCCCAATTCTGGAATACTTGAAGTTGAATCCTTCGAGACGTTGGGAGAAGAAATCCTGTTTTCTGATATTTCCAAGAAAATTGAAGAAAATTGCACCAGTGAACATAGTGGAATAACAGCAGAATCTGTTGGCCAGGCTATGGTTCAAAAGGTCATGACTGCAAGTTCCCAAGAAGCACCAAAATCTCCCAGTGAAAGTAATCATGCATGCAGTAGCCCTCAAGAAGAGGTGAATAAGATCTTCCAATCTCAAAACAGGCCAGTTGGGAATCTCAAGGATAACGTTCAATCACAGACTCAAGAACATAATTGTAGAATGCAGCGCGCTCTCGAGGTTCCAAACCTTTCAAGAGAGGCCTCAGATGTCACAGAGAGCACTAGTGTAATTAATAACCCAAAAAACAATGAGCATAAGGAAGTTGAGTCAAGCTTGAAGGACCATGGGTATCTTCCTAGTAAGGCAATCAATGGAACAAGTCTCGACAGTTCCAATGTGAAGAGGGGAAGAACTGCAAAGCAGAAACAGGAACCAGTTGACTGGGATAGCTTAAGATTGCAGGCACAAGCCAAAGGTAAAAGAAGAGAAAGGACAGCCAAGACAATGGACTCATTGGACTGGGAAGCAATACGGCTTGCAGATGTTAAGGAGGTTGCTGACACCATCAAAGAAAGGGGAATGAACAACGTGTTAGCAGGGAGAATCAAGGTACATATATTACATTTCATAACAGGGTTACCTTATATTCAATCATTTGAATTGCAGATGGCTTACTTGTGTTTATAACGCATCACACTCGATACCAAAAAAAAATAAAAATAAAAAAAAGCCATTTAACTGATGATAGTTGAGAAAATGCAGGATTTCCTGAACCGGATGGTTAGAGAACATGGAAGCATTGATCTTGAATGGTTAAGGGATGTTCCACCTGACAAAGCAAAGTAAGCCCACAGAAATTTTTCAGATCACTTCTATATGTTGAGGAACAATCTGAAGTATCGTGTAGCTATGTTGCCGTGATGTATATAATATTTCTGAAATGACAAAACAGCTTCAGTTTTTTCTTGGGATAAAAAAGAATGAAGTAACAAATTCTTATATAAGTTTATGCTTGTAGAGAGTATCTGTTGAGCATAAGAGGATTGGGCTTGAAAAGCGTGGAGTGTGTGCGGCTTTTGACACTTCACCATCTTGCTTTCCCAGTAAGTTATGAGTTGAAATACAAGATATCTTATAAAAAGATGGACAAATCTTGTACTCTTTAACATTTAATACTTGTAATTCTTCAATAAGGTCGACACAAATGTTGGACGTATAGCTGTAAGACTAGGATGGGTACCCCTTCAGCCACTGCCCGAGTCACTTCAGTTGCATCTTTTAGAACTGTAAGTATTAAGTGCAAATGATTACAGCAGTTTAATTGGTCATTCACAATAGAAAAGCTAATGTTGTTATTCCTACATAGGTACCCGGTGTTGGAATCAATTCAGAGATATCTCTGGCCACGACTCTGCAAGCTTGACCAAAGAACATTGTAAATAGACATTTATGATTACACCCATAATGCTACTTTTCGTATATATGAATTAAGAACAAAAAATGAATTTATTGTTAAACTTAAAATCATGCAATTGAATTCACTCATTCATGATGCTATTTAATCACAGGTATGAGCTTCATTACCAGATGATTACTTTTGGAAAGGTATGTAGTATTTACCAAAAAATGAGGTAACTTCCCTTAATTGATGATTAATCATAAAACAGAGGCTGAAAGGCATTCATTTTAAATTTTGCAGGTTTTTTGTACTAAAAGCAAACCAAATTGCAATGTGTGTCCATTGAGAGGAGAATGCCGACACTTTGCAAGTGCATTCGCAAGGTTTGCCCATCATCTGAAACAAATGCCCACCTAAACCACATCACAAAACCAACTATATGTTTATCTAGTTGAAATTTTCTATCCGTGTGTGTGTCTCTTCTCTATATACAAGTTCAGACTTGAAAGATAAACATATGCAAGAAAAGCAACTTCATCCATCATATTGTGTTTCTATGAGAATCATATCACATTTTATTCTAAGCCAGAAGATTTGTTTGGCAATTGTCAAATTTATGAAAGTCACCATTTCATTCTGATTTTGTAAACATGACTTCCTTCTAGTTATCTAAATGCTGCATGCTAGAGAAGATCACTAGAAGTTCAGCATAACTTCCCAAAATCAAACTCATAATATCTATGTTAAGCATAATCTGATAATTGAATGACTAATGAATCATTGTTGGATGCAGTGCAAGGCTTGCCCTCCCGGGGCCAGAAGAGAAAAGTATAGTGAATGCAACTGAAAATAAAGCAGCTAATCAAAACCCAGTGGAGGTTCTCAAACCATTGCAGCTATTTCTACCTCAGGCTGATCGACAGCTGCAAGCACAATGTCAAATCCGTAATTGTGAGCCTATTATTGAAGTACCAGCATCACCAGAGCCTATTGTTGAAGTGCCAACAACGCCAGAACCAGAACCACAAGTACCAGAAAGTGACATCGAGGATGCATTCTTTGAAGATCCGGAAGAAATTCCTATGATTAAACTCAATTTTGAAGAGTTCACTCAAAATTTGCAAAACTACATGCGACAGAATATGGAACTTCAGGAGGGTGATATGTCAAAGGCTTTAGTATCTTTAACCCCAGAAGCTGCTTCAATCCCTACGCCAAAACTTAAAAATGTGAGCCAGCTAAGAACAGAGCACCAAGTGTAAGTAGGCACTTCCTGCATCTCCAAAAGATTGACTGAGCTTTTATGTTATCACTGGTCCCATTACCTTTTACTGGATAGAATAATATTCATTTTAGCCACAAAATGTGGAAGCATCACTGGCCATAATAACACAATAAGCTAAGGGAAAGCCTGTGGATAGTACAAGAGTACTAAACTGAATAGAAAAGGTCAATCCGAAATTATACAGGTGAGCCATGAGGAGAATGTATGTTGCAAATTGAGGGAAAAAGTGTTCTGATATATAATTTCACTTTTCAGTAATTAGCAAGAAAATATGTTTATCAACTAAGTTCTTTTCCTTAAAATATAATGAGGTGTTGACTTCTTGCTGACTTATACCAATTGCTTTTTTCTCATTCTGCAGCTATGAGCTTCCAGATTCACATCCTCTACTTGACGGGGTTAGTATTACTGCAGCTACATTGTGATAAATATATTATTCAACTCTCTAATATGTATAAGTATTTTCTAATTGAATAAACTTGCTAAAATTGCAGTTGGACAAACGAGAACCAGATGACCCATGCTCATACCTTCTTGCTATATGGACTCCTGGTGAGTACAAAACAATCACAACGGCTCAAATCATCACAGGAACAATGGGAAATTGTTTATTTAGGTCATCATCCATTATTTATTTAGGGGACATGGAAAATTGGACAATTAGCTCAATCATCTTTACAGAATTATGAACAACCCACTCAACCCCTCTGCAACATCATTCAGCAACTGGGCAAAGGAGATGGACATTGAAAATTGGATAAATAGCTTATTAATGTTTAATCATGCTCTTTGGGTTCGCTGATTGATTCTACTAAATGTTCAATGTCATGTCAGGTGAAACTGCAAATTCAATTCAACCACCAGAAAGCAAGTGTAGCTCCCAACAATTTGGCAAGCTATGTGATGAGAATACATGTTTTTCATGCAATAGCATCCGAGAAGCAAACTCTCAAACTGTTCGAGGGACACTTCTGGTGAGAATATGCATATCACTGCTATTAGAATATGCCGTAATGTAACAAACTAGTTACATCAATTTCTATCTGATGCTTGCTCGGCATCATGAACAGATACCATGTCGAACAGCTATGAGAGGGAGCTTTCCACTCAATGGTACATATTTTCAAGTTAATGAGGTAAATAATGACACCTATCCTCAGCTAATTCAAGTTCTTTCTTTCAAACACACTTTTTCGGATTAGCCAGTAATAAGAAGAATCTCCTATGCAGGTGTTTGCTGACCATGAATCTAGCATTAACCCAATTGCCGTTCCTAGGGCTTGGATTTGGAATTTGCCAAGACGCATGGTGTACTTTGGAACCTCTATACCAACAATATTTAAAGGTAAAGGACCATTAAAGATTAATTATCATTCATCATCTACATTGCAAAAATGAAATTCACATATTCTCTTTGTATATTAGGTCTATCAACGGAAAGCATTCAATACTGCTTTTGGAGAGGTACGTAAGAATGAAAACTTGTGTCTTCCTGGTTGCCCCCATTAGTTTTTGAAACGTTAACACTACGCAAGACACACCAAAGCAAATAAAGAGCAATTGTGCAATATTCAGCAAATTACAGCATCATTCTATAAAAATTAGAGTAACTGCGCTTATCTTGTCACCAAGATTATGTATGGAAGGACTGAAAACCCAGCAAAAACAAATTAACCAACTCCAAGTTGCATATATATCAACAAACCAACTAAGCATAGCCTCAAAAATGTGTATTGTCCAACAGGGGAAAAAGCTGCATATTATTTTTTCATGGAAAACTACCCAAAACAATGGTGAGAATTTAGAAATTTTCTTAGACGAGTCCTTTAAATGTCCTAATTGAGGACCAAAGACCCTTACAACTAGTAAGTTGGAATCCTACTTACCCCCCCCAAAAAAAAAATAGTGGGAATCCTACTTTGTAGAATGGCTAGCCTATTTAAGAATGAGGCTTAAGTGCATATTCTGCCTTCTTCGTAGCAAGACTAGTTAAACACAACTATTTATTTCTTTATCAATAAAACTGAATCATTAGGGTAGTACTATTTATTATGGTATGGATAGCACATTACAGCTCCAGAGTTAAACAGCTGATTATTATTATTATTACAATTAACTTCTACTCAGGCTTCAGTGCACACGCATCTGTAGGGATTCAAGTGCTCTAAGAGGCCTTAATACCCGTTGTTTGAGTACTCTAATTTGTGGCATCCATGCAAACTACAAAATGTTAAAAAAAAAAATCATACAAAAAGTTAACATGCCCCTAGGCCCCCTACTATACATATATGACATCTCTTTTTATTAACCAGCAGCTAAAACCTGCTAATTGTGTTTGCAGGCTTTGTTTGCGTAAGGGGCTTTGACCAGAAGACAAGGGCACCCCGGCCTCTATTGGCGAGACTACATTTTCCAGCTAGCAAATTAGCTAAGGCGAAAGGTAAGACTAATGTCGAGCAGGAATAATGCACTCTGGTTGACACCAGATCCAAAATGCCCAAAGAAACATATGGAAAGAGCAGCAGCAAACCAACATTAAGAGGCATCACACTCAATAAGAGTGACTCGGTTGACATTATGGGGCAAATGAGATTTGGCTAACTTTTTCTGTTCCATGATGATTGGGCATGTAGTTTTATGTATAATAAACATAATTATAGCCTATTTAATTTAGTGCTCAAAGTTGAGCATTTCTTCAATTTTGAGCAAAATAACACCAAAACGTGCTATTTGGTTGCTTTTTCCTTTTCTTTCTTTCTTCACCAGGTAAAATTTGCAGTTGTTAGTGTCTGCTCTTTTTGAAAAAATATATGGCACAGGACATGACCAAAGAACTACAGCAAAAAAGTGAAACATGAGCCCAAGATAATTGTTTGAGCTGCTCGAGCAATTATTGAACTATATAAGTTCAGACTTTCATGACAATTTAAGATGATTAAACTTGATGATGGCTGAGTTACACTCATAGCCCCAACAATGTAATCGTTGTCCTTGACACAATCCAAAACCAACAACATTTTTACCTTTTGGAAAAACAGAAGTTTAGATTCCCTATGGCATACATTAAATTTACAGGTAAAGCAAAAAATAAATAATAGGTACTGTAAATCTTGATGTGGTATTTATATAACAAAGATATATATATATATATACATAAGTTTGTGCTGTTTGGAGGAATTAAGACTGACGCTGGGTTTGACCCTTTATTTGTCGAACAAATTAAGGTTGTTCGGCCCATGTTTGCCAAACATCTTATGATTGTTTTGGACCATTAATGCGGAACATAACTAGTTTCAGCCTTGTTTGCCAAACATCTTATGATTGTTTCGGACCATTAAGGTCTAACATAACTAGTTTCGGCCATGTTTTCCAAACATCTTATGATTGTTTCGGACCATTAAGGCTGAACATAACTAATTGAACGTGCTTTGTTTGTTCGGTCATTATTGGCCAAACAACCAAAAGGTTGTTAAACCTGATTGGCTAAATAAAATTTCAACACAGAAAACAGTCCTAAAATCATCGTTTACGTTAAAAATTATACACATTTCATAGATATAATCCTCCCATATAACGATTTGCTTGCTCATTGCTCAACTAATTGTAAATAATACAACAATGATCATAAATTATGAAATAGATCATAATGGAGCTGGATGGTAATGCACAATGGATTCATTGAAAAACGTTGTTCACAAATGTGATTGTCAAAAAAAAAAAAAAAACTATCTTACTACCCTAATCATACAAAATATATTTAAATTGAACAAATTGATTAATTATTAAAATATTTAAAATATAAGAATTGACCTTAATAATCTCTCTCACTACCATCCCCTTCCTTTTCTCCACACCCCATTTGTGTCTCCGCGAAAACCGATTCGCGTAATGTACCTTGCAGTTACTATCAAGGATTGAAATTTTATTGATATAAATTTAAACTATAATAAGCCTAAAAAAACAAAAACAAAAACAAAAACAAAAAAACAAGATCAATTGCATCACAATTTTAAAACAAAAACAACATCAATTGCATCATAAATTTAAAGCCGAAAGACGAGAAACAGAATACAATTAGCTGATCGATGAGAGACAAAAGGTTGGGATTGAAAACGTACGTACCTTTTGAAATTGGACGACCAAGCCGGCCAACAAACACAGATGTGGAATTTGGAGAAGACATTGCAGAGAAAGCTCTCTTCGTGTTGTCAGTTTTGTGGAGTGTCGTTGTGCGAGGGAGCATAATTGGTTTGGTAATTTTGTTTTGTCTTCCCGCGAAATTTTTGGGTCGCGTTTTCGAAATGTGGCGCGACTTATTGGCCCGCCGGGCTTGGCTCATTCTTTTCGTTGCAATTTTCAAATTAACGAATATTAAAATTTAAAATGTTTTTCCTTTTCCCAGCTCCTTAATCAATATTTTTTTTTTTATAAAATTTTTTTTTTTTTTTTTTTTTTTTTTGCAAAATTTACATCACTCATTATGGAATGGTTTAGCCCATGTGCACTTTATTACTCTAATGTTTAGAAATGACTACATAATATCCACATAGTTTTGTGAATTAAAGTGCACCATTAAAGATTGTATCAAACATAATAGCAAGTGTGAAATACGTGACAGACATAAGAGATTATGGCCATGTTTGGTAGGGCTTATTTCTATCTTATTTCAACTTTTAACTTAATTTAAGCTATTTTGATGTGTTTGGTTCAGCTTAACAATACAACTTATAGTTTTTTGTAAGTCAAAAAACCAACTTATTCTTTGAGTGGGGGAGGAGAAGCTTAATTTATAAGTTAAAAATCAGCTTATGTTCACAGCTATAAGCTATAATCTATTAGGCTATAAATTATAATCACTTTCCCACAGCTCTACCAAACAGGGCCTATATGCTAATTTTTAAATTTTAAGGGGATAAAACGCACATGAAATAAAGTACAAGGGGTTAAAGTGCACTTGTGTAAATTACACTGTGCACCTATGCATTTTGCATCAAATCTCACTTTAGTCCCTACACATAAAATTCTGACAGTCGACCTCCTACACTTCTAGTCAAATCTCATTTTGGTCCCTACACAAGTGTCAATATCCCCCTTTTGTTATTACATTGTTTAAATCTTTAACAGTATTCAATTATTTGATAAATATGCGACGACAAAACGAAGATAAAATAAGAAAATCATCTCAATTTTTCACCAATACAACTTTGTTCTACGTGTTACGCATTTGAGGGATATCAAATATAAAGTGCAAGGTTACATATTATAATTTACCCCATAATTTTTTGTACTAAGTTAAAACAAAATGTAGATTGTGAACGATTAAAGATATGGACTAGAGTTTTGCAGAAATTTAAATCATGCAGGACAAAGTGTATATTAGTGGAAAATCTGAATGATTTTCCTTTTTTTCCCTCATTCATAAACACATACTTGACAAATCACTAGATATTGTTAAAAACTTAAACAATGTAGTAACAGAATGGAGATATTGACACTTGTGTAGGGACCAAAATAAAATTTGGTCATAAGTGAAAGGGGTTAACTGTTACGATTTCATGTGTAGGAACTAAAGTGAAATTTGACAAAAAATGCAAAGAGTTGACCTTTACGATTTCATATATAGAGATTAAAGTGAGATTTGATACAAAGTGCGAGGGGTGCAAGTGTAATTTACCCAAGCACAAAGGGTTAAAAGTACACTCTGCCTTCCAAACAAATGAATAAAATACAAAGATATTTTAGTCTTTTTGATTAAATCGTTAACGGGTCTCGTAGTTCATTTAAATTAGCAAATCACAAGGGGTTATATAGTTATTTCCAAATGTTAAAGGGCAAACTGCGTATGGCCCAAACTACAAACGGGTAAAGTGAATTTGTTCTCTTTTTTTTTACAACACTACTTTCGATGTAGTTTTATTACCTTACAACCTCCAACTACCAATGACAATTTTATGTGACCATTTATAACGACCAATAATGATTTATGCTCTAATTTTGTTTCCCTAATTCCACCTCCAATTATGTGAAATTAGGAAGGCTAATGACAAGAGAGGGAGGAGTGTGATATTACTTCACATGGGAATGACCCACGTCATTGGGGGTGGAATTGAGAGGCGAAATTAAGGGATATTATGGGGACATAATTTTTGAATGACAGCATGTGGCCGAGGTGTCACCGAAGTGCCAACCGAGATGCCACATGTCCTGGTCATGACGCCAAGATCATCTCGGCTAGGCTGAGGTTATCTGCGAAGATATCGGAATCGGGGATAAACGGATAATCAATAAGAGTCCTAGAATGAGAGAGGACTTCAGTTTGGGTAAAGATAAGACTCTTAGAGAGTTTATCTCAATCCTACTGGAAGTCCAAGATTAGCAGTAATCATAAGTCCATTGAAACTAAACTTCTATTGGAACTAGGTTTGTGTTAGCTATAAAAAAGAGGCACCCTCATGGGTCTAAAGTATGCTTTTTATGCTCTGAATAGTGAGTTAAGCACTTTTACTATCTTTGAGAGATAACTGACTTGATCATCGGAGTGCCCTCGGTGGACAAACCACCGCCGGAATCTCTTTTTTTTTGTTACAGGTCGTTCGGGCTTAATTTATTCTGCCAATGTTCTCCAGCTGAGTGCTTGATTGGCAGTGTGGTCGGAAATTGACACATACAATTTGGCGCCGTCTATGGAAAAAAAAGGAGAATAGATGGCCAACGACGGACAAAAAGAGAATGTTGAGGACAATACCCCTACTGAGAGTGGGAAACACATTGACCTTAACGTCGAATAAGACAACTGTAACGAAGAGACTCGTGATAAGAATAACAGAGAAAATGAGGGCGGTGTACCGAAGAAATCGGACCGGAACGGGTATTATAACGAGGACGACCTCCAGGTATGGAAAGATAGATTTCTGCGGAGGGACGACAAGATGAAGGGAATGGCGGACCTGCAAACGGTCATTAATTTCATGATGCAGAACAACGTCATGCAGTCACCATTCCCTTTACAAGATACGTCGGTTCCAATGGCCAAGAAAGATGCCCAGAAAGGGGGATAGAACACAGTTCCTGCAGTCCCTCAGCACGACAGGGCAAAGGGGCATTCTCACTGGCCTTCATGGGAGGTCGGACATGGAGAATGATGCTTGGGAGTTAGAATTTTCAAGCCAAGATTGGTTTAACACTTGTTGAAACTTTAAAAATTTACAAGTTGAAGTTAAACCGAGGCCATGTTTAACACTTGTTGAAATTTTAAGAAAAATTTACAAGTTAAAGTTAAACTGAGAACATGTTTAACACTTGTTGAAATTTTAAAAATTTATAAGCTGAAGTTACACCGAGGGCATGTTTAACACTTGTTGAAATTTTAAAAATTTACAAGTTAAAGTTAAACCGATATCATATTTAACACTTGTTAAAATTTTAAGAAAAATTTACAAGTTGAAGTTAAACCGCGGTCATATTTAACACTTGTTGAAATTTTAAGGAAAATTTACAAGTTAAACCGATGACATGTTTAACACTTGTTGAAATTTTAAAAATTTACAAGTTGAAGTTAAACCGAGAACATGTTTAACACTTGTTGAAATTTTAAGGAAAATTTACAAGTTAAACCGATGACATGTTTAACACTTGTTGAAATTTTAAAAATTTACAAGTTGAAGTTAAACCGATGTCATGTTTAACACTTGTTGAAATTTTAAGAAAAATTTACAAGCTGAAGTTAAACCGGGGTCATAATTAAAGGAA